CGGCGTCCGGGGCGGCGTTGAGGTCGGGGGCGGGGGCGGCGTCCCGGGCGGCGTTGAGGTCGGGGGCGGGGCCGGCGTTGAATCTGGGGTCGGGGGCGGCGTGGGGAGAGCGCGGGCGGCCGAGGGGCGACGGCGGCGGCGAGAGTGGAGTTGATTTGGGGGATGAAGTGGCCGTGGGGAAGGACGAACCGTGTGGTTAAGTCAGAAGTACCAGTAGCGCGTTCCAGAAAGGGCGCTACTGCTATGTTAGCTACAACGCGTTCTGGAATACACGCTGCAGCTAAGGAGATTAGCAGTAGCGCTGGGCCATTATACGCGCTACTGCTAGGTTGGGCTAGCCATGTGCGCCCAGTTCAAACATAGCAGCAGCGCTTTTCGCTAGTACGCGCTACTGCTAAAGTCATAGCAGTAGCACGGTTTATTTACGCGCGCTGCTACTAAGTAGCAGCAGTGCTTGATTTTGTACAACGCTACTGGTAAAATTCTGTGTATAGGCTTTTCCCTAGTAGTGGACAGTTATGACCCGGCAGACAGATCGTAACCCGGCAAGTACTTAGCCATGAAAATGAGTCGCCTGGAGTTAAGAAGCCCATGGTGAGAAGCCCGTGATGAGAAGTCCATGGTGAGACGTCAGAATAGGTTAAGTCCTAATCCGAGTTGGACTCTACATGTAACCCGCCCCTTCAACTTATATAAGGAGGGGCGGGGCACCCCAAGAGGGAGAAGGTTTTTTAGACATCGCAATAGACAAGTTAGGTTGAGACAGACAAGTCAATAGCTCTCGAGATAGAGCATCCTTGTAATCGTGATCATGATCAATATCAATGAAGGAGGATGTAAACTTTTACCTCCACCATGAGGGGCGGAACCTGGGTAAAATCTCGCGTCTCTCGTCCCACTCAACCCCTCTCAAGCTACCACATAGATGCGTTGGCCTCACGACTAAGTCCTTTTCATATGGACATCTGTCGTGACAAAACCACAACATCATGTACCCATAAGCTACGCTATGTCGAAGTTTAACTTTTGTTGACCATATTGAGGTTGGTTCTATTTCCTTTGTTGAAAAATCAACAAGATTCATAAGGAACATAAGAAAAAGCCAGTGATGTGTAAACATGACATGACACCATGCCAAACTATATCTACTACTTACGAATGTTCTAGTGAGCGATTTTGGGTTACGCTCACGGGCCACTTCCTTGCGGTATGGATCATAGTGCTTGTGTCCATGGAACCAAACATGCACATTTGTTCAAAAGGTAGTGCCCCATTGCTTAGTGCCATGAAGCGGATCACTGCTTGTGGCCAACCAAGTATCAGCCAACAATTCATCCTCTTCAAGTCGAAATGTTCTCCTATTTTCTTATTTTAGTCCGCAGCTGGCGCCTGCATGTCCTCAGGATCACCGTCCAACTGGTCATTGTTTGGCTGTTGGGTCTGCTCGTCTAGGATTCTGTCTGCTGGGTGTCCAACATCTGGGTGTGTGTCTGGTGGGTGTCCTTCGGCTCCAACTGGGAGTCGTCCACTTGCCCTTCTTTATGGTGGCTGGCGTCGCCTTGCATCATGTTCATCATTACGTCCTCCTCATCAGCACCTGGTTGACACATTCCGGTAAACAAAGAATAGGCACTACCGGGTATGGTAGCCGGCATCCGTGAACGGACAAGCGTCGACAACTGCGATAAACATAGTGTTGAGGTTGACATTGTATGACACTTGATGGCTAAAGGTAACGGTAGGGCGGGCTGCTGTTGTGGACCAAGCTACGAGGCGACGAAGTAGTATGGCGGATGCAACTGCAACGGGTTTATGAGATTTGTCCCACTAGAGCCCTGGCAGTAACGGTAGGGTGGGCTGCTGTTGCGGACCAAGCTACGAGGGGCGAAGTAGTATGGCGGATGCAGCTGCAACGGGTTTACGAGATTTGTCCCACTAGAGCCCTAGTGGTAACGGTACGGCGGGCTGCTGTTGCGGACCAAGCTACG